CACATATTTAACATATGCTCAGCAGTTTTTGTATAATGCACACATTTAAAACCCTTTCAGAGTGTATTTTGATCAAACGACTGAATTTTCTCAAGAAAATTGGTGCATTGAATAAAAGAAACCCGAAATCCTTTTCACTTCTTTAAAACATATCCTTTCTGCATTATAGTTCTTTTATCATCATTATTTAATGTCCTCCAGTGGGTCAGCGATAAGTTTATGGACTTGCATCGCAAAAAAAAATCCGGGGTTCGGTTCCCCACAGTGGGCACAGTAGATAACCAAATGTGGCTTTGCTCTAAAACAAACACACACACACACAATCTTTATCATTTACTCTCCTCATTCATTCAGGCCTTTTTTTAAATATTCTAAAATCCATTTTTCGTATGTAAAAGCAATGTAATCAGGTTTTTCAATTGTGTGCAAATTATTCTCAAGTCCTAACTTGTGTTAATAGCGTGCATATTATTCCCCAAGTCCTAACTTGTGTTAATAGTGTGAAAATTATTCTCAAGTCCTAACTTGTGTTAACGGTGTGAAAATTATTCTCAAGTCCTAACTTGTGTTAACAGTGTGAAAATTATTCTCAAGTCCTAACTTGTGTTAACAGTGTGAAAATTATTCTCAAGTCCTAACTTGTGTTAATAGTGTGAAAATTATTCCCCAAGTCCTAACTTGTGTTAACAGTGTGAAAATTATTCCCCAAGTCCTAACTTGTGTTAATAGTGTGAAAATTATTCTCAAGTCCTAACTTGTGTTACCAATAATTTTGGTCTATACTAAATGCTCTTTATTATAACCTTTTTTTTGTCTTTATTTGTTACTAACGTTTGATCACTTAAAAAAAAACTCATGAAATTACTTTTAAAATACGGAACAGAATTGGCAACGAACTCTTAAAAACGTACATAATTTCTACATTAAATATTGCTAAAGTTTCAACATAAACTCATCAGAAGTTTTGATCGGTTCTGCAAGTAGAGAAAAGCCTATTTTTATTCATATCCATGATATGCAATGTTTCGATTTTCTCATTAATCGTTCGATCAATAGTTTCACAACAATATATGCTCGAGTACAAAAAAAATCACGAACATTCAACTTTCTGGAAGGAATCAGCGGTTTAAAACTTGATTTACGTTACTTTTCAGTTTGTTCTGTTACTGCAGTTTTTAGTAAAATATTCACTAATTATTTATTAAAGGTAGTAGTTTTTCATGGTTTTATTTCTGTCGAAATTCCAGGAGAACTTGTTGGATATTACTTCTGTTCATTGTACACGTGAAACAAAACTGACGACTGGTTAGGCTTACTTAACTTCAACTGATGACTGGTTATTGCTTACTTAACTTCAACTGACGACTGGTTATGCTTACTTAACTTCAACTGACGACTAGTCAGGCTTACTTAACTTCAACTGACGACTGGTTATGCTTATTTAACTTCAACTGACGACTGGTTATGCTTACTTAACTTCAACAGTAACTAGCAGTAACAAAACCTTACCAATGGTGAATAATCATCATAAGGTGAAAATAAAGAAGATTTAATGTGCAATCAATTTTACCATATCTGTTGTAAAGATGGTAAAATAATCATCATAATGTGGAATAAGGAGGATTTAATGTGCAATCAGTTTTACCTATATCTATTGTAAAGATGGTAAAATAATCATCATAATGTGGAATAAGAAGGATTTAATGTGCAATCAGTTTTACCATATCTATTGTAAAGATGGTAAAATAATCATCATAATGTGGAATAAGGAGGATTTAATGTGGATCAGTTTTACCATATCCATTGTAAAGATGGTAAAATAATCATCATAATGTGGAATAAGAAGGATTTAATGTGGAATCAGTTTTACCATATCCATTGTAAAGATGGTAAAATAATCATCATAATGTGGAATAAGGAGGATTTAATGTGGAATCAGTTTTACCATATCTATTGTAAACAACCTTATTCCACATTATGATGATTATTTTACCAAAAACTGATTCCACATTAAATCCTACCATATCTATTGTAAAGATGGTAAAATAATCATCATAATGTGGAATAAGGAGGATTTAATGTGCAATCAGTTTAACCATATCTATTGTAAAGATGGTAAAATAATCATGATAATGTGGAATAATAATGACTTAATGTGTTTACTTTAATATTATATATCTAAATATATCAATAGTTATATTATAAAGCCAAAACCGAGACAGTGTGCTAACAAATCATGAGCCTTTTGATTTATTTTTCAGTTGTTCTTCAGAGCTTTCGTGTAGAAGTAAATGATGACTACGTTGTTTCTGGAAACACCGGAGTTCTGAGATGTCGCATTCCTGATCTAGTTAAAGAATACGTCACAGTGACGTCATGGCTTCAGGACGAAACTTTCATTATCCGGGGTTCAACAACCGCAAGTGAGCTGCCATTCAATCACAAATTAATATATAAAATATTTGAGAACAGTCTATGTGTATATATATATATATATATATCTTGCTCACCTAGTAACACCTGTCTATGTGTATATATATATATATATATC